AAAAAGAATACATTAGTAACAATACTTCTAACAGAAAATACCACTTTTGAACTGAAATACTTTCATTACCACCCCAATTTATGTAATGATGTTGTTGTTGCTAAGTGTCTTCAAGTCAGTTTCAACTACCAGCAATCCTACAGACAACCGCCAGCAATCCTACAGATGACAAGTGCCAGAATCGTGCAGACGACAACTACCAGCAATCCTGCAGACAACTAATTACCAGCAATCCTGCATACAACTGCCAGCAATCCTCCAGACAGCCGCCAGCAATCCTACAGAAAACAAGTGCCAACAATCCTGCAGACGACAGAATGGAACACTGCCAGGACCTGCACCATCCTCACTATGAATTCTCCCCCTGGAAAACAGAACTTGGATTTTTAAAAAAAAAACAAACAAAAACGTATTTTAATTACAATTTTAACTAATGCTTACAGGGAAGTTAGGTTTTCAGTCATGCACTGTTGCAATCATGCACTCCTTCCCTCCCTTCCTCCTCCCCTAGTTCACTTTTTTAAAAATATTCATTCATTATTGCACAATTACCTACACCCCCTACCCCCAGTCCTCTTTGCACTGATAACACCTTTTATTCTGGGCTGCTGTCATATGTACACTGTCTAATCATATACCCCTTTTAAACAGTTCTTTCCTTCTTGGATCCTGAATCTGCCCCTACCCCCTCCCTCTTCTCCATTACTGCCACCCAAATCTAGACCACCATCACCTCTCTGCAGGACCAAACAGCTTCCCACCTCGTTAGCCTTTCAGCCCTTTGACCACAAATGTCATCCTAATTATTATGAATGATAAATCAGGTCATGTTACTCCTTAGCTTAGAGACTTGAAAATAAAAATCTTCCACTGTAATGAAAATGAAATCTAGACCCCCTCCCCTACAGTCTCCCTGCTTGCTTTTCCAATCTCATCCAGGGGCCCTCTCTGGCCACAGTGGTCTCCTTTCAGTCTTTAAAATTCACCAATCAGGGTGAAGTCTCTCTCAGGGAGGAGTGATAGGGAATGGCAAAGGACACACTGACAAAGAAGATTAATCAGAACTGGCTTTGACAAGCACTGTGGCATTTGGACAAGAACAAACTGGGAGGAGGGTAGAGAGAATGGTGCAGCGGTGAATGAATGGAAACCCAAAATCTCTGTAAATGTTTATGAAAATTAATAAAATATAATTATAGAAAAAAAAATTCACCAAGCTCTGAGTACCTGATGTACTCACTTTCTAGAATGTTCTTTCCTCTACTCTCTTCACAGCTGGGTCCTCTTCATCTTTTTAATGTGTCTCCGCAGATAAACCTTCTTCCAGGCATCTGACAGAGAGAAGCCCACATTCTGTCCCTCTCCACCCCATCAAGGTGACATCTCTCCTTTTTCAATCTGAAATCACACACTCATTTTACTCGTTAACTGCTTCACTATCTCCCTCACTAGCTCTATAAAGTCAGGGATTAATACTGTTTCACCACTATGTACAAGAATGGCTGCTTAATAAATATTTGGCTGATGGACTGAAAGAAGAAGAATCTGGAAGTGCTTCAGGGGAAGAGAAATCATTTCTTTCTCCCGAGTGAAGTAAAGGGATCAATGTCTGATTTTGTTTAAAATAATCTACCCTAGGGCACTGAGCAAACCACAATGAGAGAAGCATTAGCAGCCTTATGTTTTCCTGAAGCTCTTAAAGAAAGAACTTGGTTTTCAGATTAACTTGAAGTAAAATGTGCTGTCAGTGATAACATCTATGGGCTGACAACGATGGCCAGTTAAAAAAGAACAATTATCCAATTTTTACATCAACCACAAATACCAAAGATGAAGAAAATGAAGATTTTTTTTAATCAACTTCTACAGTCTGAAATTTATCAAACATTCAACAGAGATGCACGGATAATTGGTATGGATATCTGGAGAGGGAAAGTTGGAAAGAAAAAGTGATCAGTACTGGAAAAAATATCTGTGGTAATAGAAATGATGCTAGAAATAACAGAATTTTGCAAGAATAATAACCTATTCATTAAAAAATACCTTTTTCAATAATTGAAATGGTGACTATACACAAAGACCGCAATGGATGGAAAACACAGGAATGTATATGTACTTGTATATGTGGAAAGAGATGATGGAGAAGCTCAAGATCATCATTCCGAACAAGGCCAGGGGCCAAATGCAAAACAAATCTATGAGAGCCAAAACACAACTTTGTATCTACCTTCCTAAATTTAGAGCTTATTCTAAGAGTAGATCTAATGTGCTGAACATTACATTAGGTCTACTCTTAGAATCTGTATGCAGAACAGCTCATTTGAGAGGCTAGACTTTATAAGGAGAAGTGTGGCATCAGGATTGGAAGAAGACTTGTCAACAATCAGCACTATGTAGGTGACACAACCCTGCTTGCCTAAACTGAGGAGGACCTGAAGGGTTTGCAACAGCAGGTCAAGGACTGTAGTCTTCAATATAGATTGAAGCTCAAAATCAAGAAAACAAAAATTCTCACCATTGGGCCAACTGGCAACACCTATTTAACAATTTCAGCTTGCTTGGCTCCACAATCAACACTCTTGGCACTAGCAGTCAGGAAATCAAAAGACAAACTGCAGTGCAGAAGTCTACTGTCAGAGACCTCTCCAGAGTGCTGAGGAGCAATGATATCAGTCTAGAGACTAAGGTGTGGCGAGCTCTGGTGGCCTAGTGGCAGGAAACTGCACTGCAATCCCAGAGGTGTGTGGTTCAAATCCACCAGATGCTCTGCTGAAGAAGGAGGAACAGTCGCCTCCTGTACCAGTCAGATCCAATTTGACGGCACACACATAAAAAAATAAATAGAGACTATGGTGTACCTGATCCTGGTCATGACCTTCAGAATTGCACGCTATGCATCAGAGAGCTGAACAATGATTATGGATATGACAGAAGAATTACTGATGCCTTTTGAATTATGCCATTAAACAGTATGTTCAGTATTGAACATACCACGGACAGCCAGGAGAAAAATAGGTCTGTCTTGGAGAGGGTGAAACCAAGTTTCTCCTTGAAGGCTAGGATTTTGAAGCTCTATCTCACATACTTTGGGCCAGGTGGGACCAGTCCTTGGTGAAGGGCATCATGCTTTGAAGGGTGGAGGGACAGCGCAGGAGAGGAAGACCCTGCATGAGAAGGACTGACATGATAATTGGGGCAATGGGATTAGGTGTGTTAGAGTCAGTGAGACTATCTCAGAACAGGGCAGGATTCAGAGTTGTTGTACAGAGGATCACTATGAGTAGGTGACTCACCAGCACATAGTAACAACCACAATGTAATGAACACTAATGATGGAAGACCAGATTAGTTATGAGATTTTATCAAGGATATCATATATGAAAAAAGCAAAAGTCATTTAAAAGGAGAAAGAAAAGACCAGTGTGTGCCAGAAGAGACGGAAACTTGCTCTTGAATGCAGAGTGTCTCTAGCATAAGAAAGAAATTGTGAAGCGCTGAGCAGAAGCTTTCACAGAGTGGCCCGAGAAGACAAACGAAAAGTATTATATAAAAAATACAAAGACTTGGAATTAAAAAACAAAAATAGATGACATATTAGACATTTCTTAAACTCAAAGACTGAAGAGGGGAAAAAAATGTTTACATCTCAAGTTGTAATACTAAAAGTTTCTTTCTTCTTTTTTAATTTTTTTTTGTGGGTACCATCAAATCTGATCTGACTGGTATAGGAGGAAATTGTCCCTCCTTCTCCAGCACAGCATCTAGTGGATTCGAACCATGCACTTCTGGGATTGCAGTGCAACTTCTTGCCACTAGGCCACCAGAGTTCGCCAATACTGAAGGATTCTTTAGGCAAAATATTGACCAAAAGAAGATGGAATACATGGTCACTGTACCAAATAGAACTGGTTCACGTTCAACCATTTTACTTAAAATAACTCATTGCTATCGGTCGAACAGACTCATAACTGATCCTCCAGCATATTTTTTCCAAGGCTATAAACTGCTTGACAAGAGATTACCTGTATCTTTCTCTTGCAGAGTAACTGGTGCATGTGAACTGGCAGAGAGGCTTGGCCTTTGGTTAGTGGCATAAAGTTATTAAACAATATCATTAACTCAACAAAAGCTCAGCTTACTGCTGTTGAGGTGGACTATACAACATAACTCCTATCTGACCCTCCAGTAAGTTTTCAAAGGCTGTAAACTGCATGGCAGGAAACTGTCATTCTTTCTCCCATGGAGCAGTTGGTAGATTTGAATCACCTGCCTTTGGATTGGCAGCACAACTCCTTATCCTAGGCCATGAGCGCTTCATCATTAATATCATGTTGTTGTTGACTGCCATCAAGTCAAGTGCGACTCATAGTGACTATGAACAAAAGACCTAATGCCTTTCCATAACTATCATCATGTCTCCAAGTTCATAGAGTTTTCAGAGGCATGTGGTTTAGGAAGTGGATGTCACTCCTGCTTCCAAACCTGTTTTACAACTGGGAGCTCCACCAAACACTGTCCACATTGGGAAACCATTCTAGTAGTTGATACCCCAATGGTACAAGGTTCAGCATCACAGCAAACCCAGGTTACTTCATACAGCACATTGACAAAGAGTGATGTACAAAGTACAAGAGTGTTCTCCAGATATAACAGCACTAGTCTCATTTAGCTGTGGTTAAGTGTCACCAAGGTGAATACAACTGAGAGTAAGCATTGCACAAAAGACCTGAACTCTGTTATACAACTAACATCATTTCTGTACATTTATAGAGTTTAGAAAGTTTGTAGAGTTTAGAGAGGTTTCCAGAGGTATTTAGTTTAAGAAATGGATGCCACTCTTGCTTCCCAGCATAAATCATTCTGGAAGCTCATCCAAACACTGTACAAAATGGATAACCATTATGGTATTTGACAAGACTATGGAACAGTCAAATGCAAGAATGATTACCCATGGCAGACAGTGTTCGGTGGCGCTCCCCGATTAAAACAAGCTTGGAAGCAGGAGTGGCATCCACTTCCAAAATAGTTTGCCTTTGGAAACCCTATGAACCTGGAGAAAGGACGAAAGTTATACAAGGGTTCAGGTCTTTCGTTCATAGGGTCTCTATGAGTCACCTACGACTTGACAACACTTAGCAACAACAACATTGAACAGTGTGCAGCATCACAACAACACCAAGTTGTTCAGTTGAGCAAACAGACAAAAGATTGCTGTATCATTCATGGAATATTCATTCAAAAATTAATAAATTTGGTCCAAGGGCCACAGTCCCATCCCATCCCCCTGTGGGGTTTTAAAGCCACACCTTTGAGCAGACTTCCACCCTAGGCAAAGGCTCAAGGACACTCACCCTAGGGAGGGAAAGAGCAGTAATACATATTAAACACAACCCCAAAAAACACTACCCCAAAACTTCCCTAACGTGCCCATCAGGACTGCCATCCAGATGCAGCAAATAGCCAGACTCCCAGAGTGGAGGCTCCAGGCCCCGGCCAGCCCATTAAATTTTGCTGAAGATATTTTTAAAATTATTACAATAGTAATGTAACTGCTGGAAATTCAATCCCAATTCAGAAGAAGACAATGAATGGCTTGCAACACTCTGGATGCATCGGATGGCTCTTGACTGAAAGCAGAGATAGAAAGAGGTTTATCAGTGCTCAATTGACTATGTAAAAGCATTTGACTATGTAAATTAAACTAGATTATGGATAACACTGCAAACAATCAGAATCTCAAGCATTTAATTGTCCTAATATAGAATCTGTGGAAAAGCAGTCATTCTAATAGAACAAGGGGATATTGGATGGTTTAAAATCAGGAAAAGTGTACATCAGGGCTGTACCTTTTTACCACACTTATTCAACCTGTATGCTAAGCAAATTTAAGAAGCTCGACTATATGAAGATAAATGTAGCATCACAATTAGAGAAGTCTCCTAACCAGGCTGGGATATGAAGACAACTGCTTGCTGAAACTGAAGCACCCACTAATGCATTTCAAAGATTACAGCCATCAGCATGGATTACACCTCAACATAAAGAAAATGAAAATCTTTACAGGTTGACTAAAACCATCATGACAAATGAAAAATAGTGACATTATCAAAGACAGCTTTTTTTTGATCCACAGTCAGTGCCGGGGAACCAACAGTCAAGAACTCAAGTGGTGTGTTGCATCAGATACATTTTCAGTAAAAAACTTTTGTGAAGTGTTAAAAAGAAAAGATGGCATGTGAGGACACACATGCACCTGAATCAAACCACAGTATTGTCAATTGCATCATATACAAAGGAAACCTGGTCCGTGAATATGGAGGACCTAAGAAGAATTGATGTATTTAAGTTATATTTGGCAGTGAAGAGTGAATATGCCATAGACTGCTAGGAGAAGAATGACCAAATCTGTCTTGGAATTCAAGCCAGAATGCCTCTTAGAAGTAACAATGTCAAGCCTTCGTGTCACGTCCTTTGGGCCTGTTCTCAGGAACGACCAGTTCTCAGAGAAGGCCACCAAGCTTGGTAAAGCAGAGGATCAGTGAAAAAGGAGAATGTTCACGAGACTGATTTACAAAGAGACTTTAATGGTGGGACCCACCAGAGCAACGATGGTGGGTTATCACAGGAGTGGGCGGTGTCTCGTTCTGCTGTACTCAGGGTCCCTGTAAGGCAGAACCAACTCAACACCACCAAACAAGAGCAACCTGCTACCTAAGAAACTGCAAATCCAACTTGTTCTAAACCAAGAAAGAAACCCAGTGATGGCCAATCAGGTTAGCAGACAGCAAATGGAAAAAAGATGAGAAACACTCTGGTCTACCCACTGACCCAATTCATTGCTTTATTAACAATGCTTAAAGAGACTGAGCTTTTAGAATAGGGAGACACTGTATTTAGGACACCGTTTGACTAAATGGAGAATCCCATACTCACCCTCAAAATTGATTGTACAGTCTGCATGGGGTAGGTGACAGTGGTGGCAATTGCTTTGGCTATTGCACCAATGAGGAACACATCCAAAGAAGAGAGCTGTAGAGCAAAGGAAAACAGAACATGTCAATCTCCAAGAAAGCGATGTCATGAGCCACCAAGCTGTCAACTCAGAGGGACTCGGAAGGACAGGGGAGAACTGCCCAGAGCGTTTCACAGGCAGTTGTCTCTATGGAGTGAGAGCACTACTTCTCTCTCCCAGAGAGGGGAAGCCACCACACAGTTATTTTTGCTCCTTTCACAATCAGGGCTTACCTTCACGCGTTTCTTTAGAAGCTGACGTTTGAGTCCTTCATAGAACATGAACTGGATTGCAGGATTGAAGACCAATAGCAAGGAGGGGAATGTGCCATTCCACAAAGCCAAGATTCCTTCATCTCGAATGATCTGGTGAAAAGCATCTAAGCAAGAAATCAGGGACTTTGGAAAAGCATGAAAACAATCCCCTAAGCAGAGCAGACACGTGAATGTTGCTGAATGTACTCGGAACACAAACCATAAAGGTTACGTCCAAATGTCCTCCTTGTCCCAGTCCTTTTAGAGCCAACTTCCTCAGTTAATGAGTTTTTAACAATAATCAATACTGACAATCACTGAGTTATTGAGAGATTAAACACAGGTAGGTGTTTTCCTAGAAGCTTGGGGTCCGAATGCCAAGTTTTCCTAGCAGATCATCATCACCACCAGGAACTCCATTTCACAGGAACTGTGTGAGCTGACTACCCACATAGTTTACAACCAAGTACAGAACAACCCACGGTGAGTCCACTCCACATAAGGGATCTGCTGCACAAGAAAACCTCTGTCTCCTTTGGAAAAGTTATCTGTATTGTGCTTTAATAAAGATGGAAACATGAGAAAGGAGAAAGTGGCACTGTGGTGCCATTAAACAGAAGAACAAAAATATCAGATACTAATATGACATCTTTACTCAAAGACAATGCAAGGGGGAAAAAATAGGCCATTCTTCAAAAACATCCAGTCCTTTTCCCTCTACCCCATGGGAGCAGCATACTTCTTTACCCTTGTCTTAGACTCAGTCAGCCACAGCACTACGCTTTGGCCAACAGAATGTTAGCAGATGAAATGCAACCAGGAACTTGTAGATGCTGGTACAATCAGGTCTGTCCTCTTGTGCTTTTACTATGACCATGAGGAAAACAAGCTCTGGATGGACTTGGGGAAAGGACAAGAGACCAGTGGAATCAGGACTCTCAGGCTGCAGTTTGCCTATCTTGGTCAGATCTAGACCCATGAGCTAAAGAAATGTTGCGTACAGGTACTGAGACTAGCAGATATTATGCAGCCTTTTACGCAGCAGTAAATTCCAAATGTAAAAAGAAAATAAAATCTTAACCAGGAACTCACCCAAGGGACACTTACCAATGATACCCTTGTAGTTGGTTGGTACAATGTCTTCATTCCTAAATTTTGCCCCTTGTAGCTTCAGCCTGGTATTTACTACCCAGAGTGGAGTCGTTAGCAATACATTCACTACTCCTTTGGAAAAAAGGAGAACGATAAAAAGAAAGGAGAATGTAACCTTTAAGGCATTACTGCCGTGTAAAGCTTTCACTTACCAATGTTCCATGTCTACTTCTGCCCCTTCCGCCCCGACCTAAGAAACCTTTGATAAAGTATCCCTCTTGTGCCATAGTCTGATCGAAGCCACTGCTATCTGAAGCGAGTCTGAAGCTTTTCTGATAGCAAAATGGCTCACAGTAGCATCTCTGAGGGTGAGAAGAGTAACTAACTTATGTATTAGTGGAATAGGAGATGAAAGCCACTGGTCACTTACAACAGCATCCAAGGTGGCAATTCTGAAAAAGTCTGAAATACAATTTTTAAGTACGGAAGTTCCCAGGTTATGAGTATCCAGGTGCCATAGAGCTCATAGTCAGTAACCAGCCTCATAAATAGGCTAAAATTAATAATATTTAATACTTAATAGTATTAAGATTTCAAAGTACATACAGTAGTTTGTAATGACAAGCAGGTGCACCAGACTTCAAAACATATTATTACCATGATACTAATATGTCAAAGTTGTCTTAATGAATCTGGAAGTTATTTCATGCTTTCTATGATATCCTAAAATGAACACTGGACTAACCTAATTGTATACATATTACATTTAAGGAAACACCTAGGAATGGAACTCATTTGTAATCTGGGAACTGACTGTAAAACAGCTTCAGAGAAACAGATGAGGGAGAGAACTGTTTAAAAGGGATATATGATTGGGTATCATTTTCCCGAACAGGAGTCCAGAATGAAGGCTGCTCAGTGGAGTGGACTTGGTGGGAGGGATTGCATAACAATGAGTTTTTATTTTTCTTAAGGAGAAGAGTGAATTGGTTGGGAGGGGTGGACAGAGAGAAAAGTGCAACATGAATGACTGGAAACCCTACATCTCTGTAAATTTTCATGAAAATTAATTAAAAAAACAAACCAGCTTCAAAGAGGGCAAGTGGCTCATGCTAATATCATGACAATATTAGAGAATACACACAGCTGACAACTGTCAGGTAAGCAGCCCTACAGCTTTAAGAGGACGAATCTGGTGTAATGAGTGAGACAGGCAGGGGAAATGGTGAGGTTTCAAAGGTGCTTGGGCAGGGATAAGGAGTTCACAGGAGACTTGCTCAACATTGAAGGGTAAGGATGCAGCAAATCAGCAAGCAGGAGTCAGAAGCTGTCACAAACACCTAAAGCGGCCTCACAAACATCATGATCCTTACAAGCTGAAGGATGGGGATGGTGGTTCCCCAGAGTTGCCTCAGAGTAGAACAAAACAATGAGTCAGACGCGTCTTTTTAGAAAACACACATGATCCCAGTAACACCATCTTGAGATATTAAAATATTCCTCAAAAATCCTGAAACGATTAAAAAACAAAATGACAAAAAACAGAGTTGTCACAAAATGTTTGATACATAACATCTACTTTACAAATATTTGCTACCTAAGTGAGTGAACTGGTATATAAGTATCCCTGAAGCTGCCTGGCCCCAGTCATGCTTTGAACAATCAAGACACATGATGTGAAGGAAGAGAAATCTCCATACGCCCAAAGCTAGCTAAACACAACTGGAGAATACAGAGAATTAAGCCTCTCAACACATACCTAGTTGTTGCGTGACACTGAGTTAGAATTGACTCATAACTGACCCTCCAGTGGGTTTTCAGAGGCAGAAAATCTCATGGGAGGGGACTGCCCAAAGATCCTAGCTGAAAGTTAAGAATACCAGAAGAATGGCTATTTGTACTTGACTGACTATGCAAAGGCATTTGACTGTGGGGATCCTAACAAACTATGTCTAACATTGAGAAGAATGGAAATCCCAGACCACTTAACTGTGTTCATGTGAAGCCTATACTGAGGCCAAGAGGCTGTTGTGAAAACAGAGAAAGGGAACACTACGTGGCTTAAAACTAGGGTTGTATCCTTTCTCAATATCTATTTATTGTGTACACCCAGCAAATCATTCAAGAAGCTGGACTCCATGAGGAATGTGGCACCAGGACTGGAGTCAGACTCCTCAATACGCTTTGTTATGTAGATGACACAACCTTGCTTGCTGAAAGTAAGGACTGTAACACTTGCTACGGAAGGTTAAATACTGCAGTCTTCAATATGGATTATATCTCCGTGTCAAGAAAACAAAAATCCTTACATCATGACAGATTGTCAAAGGGAGAAAATCTGAAACTGTCAACAGCTTCTTCATCTTACTTGTATCCACAAGAAGTAAACTTGACACCAGTATCAGAAGACCAGTATTACACAGGCAAAGTCTGCAGTCAGGGACCTCTCCAAACTACTGAGGGGCGACGATGTCAATTTGAGGACAAAGGTGCACCTGATTCCGGCCATGGTCTTTTCAATCACTTACTATGCTGCTGAGAGCTGGACAATGAATAACCGAAAAATAACTGATGCCTTTGAGCTGTGATGCTGTAGAAGAATATCCCTTATGTTTTGGAGAATGTTTCGGCCAGAGTGCTCCTTGCAGGCAAAGATAATAAAGCTTTGTCTCAAATACTTTGGGCATGTTGCTAGGAAAGATTACTCCTTGGAGAGGGACATCATGCTTAGAGAGATGGAGGGAGAGCAAAGGACAGGAAGGCCCTCAACCAGATGGACAGATGCAGTGACTGCAGCAATGGGCTCAAGCATGTCAGAGATGGTGAGGATGGCACAGGGCAGGGCAGGGTTCACATAAGTTGTTCATAAGGTCACAATGAGTTGTACTTGATGCGACAGCATCTAACAACACAACATACCATATAGAAAATATAGTTCTAAACAAGGATAAACTTAGTCATGACATAAAATTTTACTTTGTCATTTTTTCAGTATGGTTACAAAAGTAAAATATTGTACCTACTTCTTAAGATCATTAAAAGATGCAACAATGAAAGAGGAAGTAAAATTATCCCTCTATGCAGATGACATGATAGTATACTTAGAAAACCCTAAAGACTCAGCAAGAAAACTATTGGACATAGTTGA